TAGATAGATAGATAGATAGATAGATAGATATAGATATATAGATACAGATACAGTTATATAGATGTCTATATCTTCTCATTCCCTTACATGGCAAAGCAACTGCCCCCCGAAAAAGCAAATTAATTAATTTCTCTCCAAACTGGAAATGTTCCTTCACCATAGGCAACATTTTATAGGATTTTGCAGATCTTATTTCTAGACCCCATTCCGCTTGATCTGATTATTCATGTAAGAACATGAATTTGTTATTACTATTTTTATAGAATAAAATACATTTATCTTGGGACATTAGTGCTTTCTATTTTTATTTTTCAAAAATTTTGTGGTCCTTCTGATATGCTTATTTTTCCCTTATAAATTTTATAGTAACAATAGTGGGACAACTGGTACAGGCATACATCATTTTTATGTTTCTAAGTGTGGTGTTCTGTGCAGAACTTCTATAGTTAGGTGTATCTATAGATTTCTTTGTGTCTTTTTTAGTTTTTTAAAAAATATTTTAAAAATTTTATTTAAATTCGGGGCGCCTGGGTGGTTCAGTGGGTTGGGCCTCTGCCTTCAGCTCAGGTCATGATCCCAGGGTCCTGGGATCGAGCCCCACATCGGGCTCTCTGCTCAGCAGGGAGCCTGCTTCCTCCTCTCTCTCTGCCTGCCTCTCTGCCTGCTTGTGATCTCTATCTGTCAAATAAATAAAATCTTTAAAAAAATTTTTTTATTTAAATTCAAGTTAGTTAACATATAGTGTTTTATTACTTTCAGGGGTAGAATTTAGTGATTCATCAGTTGCACACAACACCCAATGCTCATTACATCAAGTGCCCTCCTTAATGCCCATCACCCATTTACCCATCCCTCTCCCCACCTCCCCTCCAGCAACCCTCAGTTTTTTCCCTATGGTTAAGGGTCTCTTATGGTCTATGGTCTTTTTAACTTTTGTAAGTGTAATATTTTAATCTTCTGTTTCCACCATTAATGTTTAACTAATTGTTATGCATCTAGGAAATATCTTGATTGTTTTGATATTATTTTTGTGTCCATCCACTGCCCTCCATGGGTATTTTATTGTTTTTATCTTCAAATGATTCTCTTGAGTTTTCCAGTGTACAGTCATAATATTGGGAAAAAATCTTAAGTTATCTACCTGCTTTCCAATTTTCATTTCTTTCTCTTTTCAATTACATTAACTAGTACTTAGACATTAGCGTTAGCCAAGAGTGGAGTTAATGTGTTGTCCTGTCTAATTTTTGACAACAACACTAATGCTTTTAGAGTTTCACAGTTTCAGTATTGCGCTGGTTTTCAGTCTGAGGTCTCTATGTCTTTCCTTATAATAATTATTCTACACCACCTCTTCCATGAGGACATGATTGCAACCTCTTCTAGAAGAATATGACCCATGTGCCATTTCAATCTGTGGGTTAAAGTGTTAATTTCAGGAAAGTCCTCTATTACATGTTTGTGGGGTTTTTGTTGTTCTTGTTGTTGTTGTTCTTATTTGCCTTTTCTATTCTAATTTTTCTGGTCCTGTCTTCAAGAACATCAGTTTCATATAATGATCTCCCTTGCTTGTTTCCACATCCATCATTTTTTTAAAAATAACGATTTACTTGGATGTTCTCAAATTGTTCTCTGTATCACTGACTCCTCTTCACAAGATATTTTTCCACATTTTGTTGCTTCTAATGTAATTTCATTTCTTTTTCTTGTTTCTCATTCCTCTCCATTTCTTATAGGAGCTCAGGCAAATCACTCATTTGATTAATGAGTTAAGATCATTCAATTTTCTTAGCTCTTCTTTCTGGTTTTGGTTCAGAAACGCCATATTTCCTTTACCATCTCTGGTTTCTTGGAGAACTGCTTGTCATTACTTTCATATCAACTCTTGTCCTGGGCCAATACTCTACCTAAGTTTGGCTGAAACTTACTGCTTCATCGGGGAGTCCTATGTGTCATGGCGTGTTACGTGTAGGGATTTAGAATTCTCGTCCACTGGTCATCAAACTTTAATCCCTCAACCCATCAATCCATTTCTTGGCAGTAATGGCATAGTGAGGTTCTTGTTCAGTCTTGCCTATCATGCCATCTGTTTTCAAACTCAAAGATGCTTCAATAGCCCTTTCTTTTAACACAGACCATGCCATACAAAGAGACATCATTGCCTTGGCCCTCACGACGTCTAGGCTACTCAGAGAGTTTGAGCATTTGCAGAAGTTGCAAAGATATAACAACCTCCTAAGTTTCTTCCTTCGGTTAGGTTTAATTTCACCACATTCTCTAAATCTCTGTCATTTGTGGTTTGAGACTCTATTTCCTATTCTCAAGAAAGAACAGACTTTTCATTTGTGTTTTTTATTATTATTGATTTCAGTCTGTTCGAAAGCAAAAAAGCAGGCCAGATCTATCATCTGAAACTTGGAAGTTCTCACAGTAATTCTGCTACAGTTATATTTATTTGCCTGTGAACTGCTTCTCTAAGATTCTTAGGTTTATTTAGCTAAATTCATTCAGTCACTCTAACAGATGTTTTTTAGCCCTATTAAATGATTTTTTTTTTACCCACGGACATGACAAAATTGCTTCTGAATCTGATATAAGGGGAAAGACTAAATTTGATCATCAAGTCTGTGATCTGTGGCTCTCTTCTTTGCTGGTGTTAACCATTTACTCTTTATTTCACTAGCTTCACTGACATGGTACAATGTTTGAGCAACACCTATGTCGAAATACCTGATTCTTACCTCTCTTCGCTAAGCCTTTAACTGTCTTAATCATATGTATTTATCCATATATATTCTTTTTTTTAAAAGATTTTATTTATTTATTTGACAGACAGAGATCACAAGCAGGCAGAGAGGAAGGCAGAGAGAGGAGGAAGCAGGCTCCCTGCTGAGCAGAGAGCCCGATGCGGGGCTTGATCCGAGGACCCTGGGATCATGACCTGAGCCGAAGGCAGAGGCTTTAACTCACTGAGCCACCCAGGAGCCCCTATCCATATATATTCTTATATATAATTCTTAAATGCAAGAAATATTAGCAACCAACTTAAATTTTAATCTATACCCTAATAAGTTATATTAGGTTTATTTCGAATAGAATATAAGCACGTGACAGAAGATCTACAAATCTTTAAATGTGTTTGCTTATTTCAAACAACCAAATGGGAATACTAGGCTCCATGGCTCTATGCAGTGGTAGGTACTATCCTAATTACACTTTTAATTGAGTGGTCAACATTAAATTAAATCTCTACAGCATGTTAACTCAGTGACATCAGGAGACAACTCAAGTTGCCTTGGAGGCTCATTTAATTACTTGGTGGGAGCCAAGTAACTAATATAATTGTAATACTTGAGGAAAAGAGATGAGGAAATCACCAGGATGAGGATAGTCAGAAAAGAATAAAACAGGGATTGAAATGAAAACACACATGATACACAATCATGGTGAACACACACACATACACGAACGCTTAAGGAGTTGTAGGGAACCTGGAGGGTGAAGGCAGGAGATCAAGTAACCAATGATGAGACCAAGAAAGGAGTTGGACTGATGTTACTAAATGAAGAAAAAGCAGATTATTGTGTGGCTGAGAGAAAATACAACTGTGTAAGTTCAAAGAGAGTAGGGACTAGCACATAACCTAAAAACGGTGACTGGAGCAACACTATGCTGAGAGAAATTATTGTCTAGACAAATCAATTGTTTATTTGTTTACTTATTTCTTTAAACTATATTCTTCACTAAAAAGGCTTTCAACAAGCTTTCAAAATCCACAGATGGCAAAATCACTAGGCAAGAATGAGTGAAGGAAAATCGTGGTGCAAAAAAGATGAAGCAGTGGGGTATGTTAGTAAGCAACCTACTTGCCACACAGTCTAGTCATGCTCCCAGGAGCCAAACCAAACAGGCACATGTGATCTGTTTCAACATTTCCAGGGCCATAAGGAAAGCAATCCAGCTGCTCACCAGCAGCACACGGGTTGGGCCTTCAGTGAAATTTATCTTATGTGTTTTTAATCAAGAGAACAGACTGTGTGATGGAGTAGACGACACTTTCAATGTCATTTCTACAATAAAGATGATATAAAATTCTGAGTGATGTTACCATAATTTCACTCAGTTCAGTCCAAATCGTAACTGCATAAATAGTTCAGAAAAACCAATTATGCAAATGATCCAGATAAGACACTCCCAGATGGTCTGGCTTATCCAAGAGCAAAATTTAGAATATCCAGAGAACATCATATCCTTTAGATAATCCTCAATGAATAATCCTCACTGAATATTTTCACAACAAGTAAATCACACATGAGAAAGTCTTTCATAATATAGTCATTATTTACCCAGCGATCACTTGACAAATTATTTCTGTGTAGAACATGCAGCCAATTAATTACATGTTTTCTAAACCAGACTACTCATGATTAAATAATGTCTACTTATCTTAGTTTCTTCTGGTCCCCCCCTCTTTTTTTTTCCTTTAGGGAGATTTATTCCATTTTATAAAAATGCGAAAGAGAATTATTCTTAGGTATAGCTCCCTGGGTTGTTGTTTAGATTTTGTTTATAGGGTAACGCTGAAAATGCTATAAACTTGGAGAGATGTGCTTTATTATCACTAAACTAAGTATCTGACATCAAAATCCCCAAACTCTAGCTTCTAAGTAGGTTTTCTTTTTCCCCCATTGTAGGTGGAAACAGCACGACTGACCTAAAGAAGTAGTACCCTCTCATGGAGAAGAGCTCATGCTATAGATCTTTGACAGGAACATTTAAATGAACTCTAGGAGTACAATGTCTAACCAGAAGCAGAACAGAAACGAGGTCAGGAAACCCACGAAAGCTTAAGTGTCTTAAAGTAGATCACGTTACACTTGGGGGTAGCTCATTCTAGACTACGCACGTATGAGTCTCCGGACTTAGGACAGCAGAGTCTTAAGTACTCTGTAGCCCACACCTCGACAGAGAGATACCCCAGTTAAATGGCTATAAAACGTTACCTCAAATCAGCAGCTTTCCCCGTCTTGTTAGTGCACATAACCTCTCTGGTCTGATATCCAATCTGGATGTCCCAGTATTTGTTCTCTTGCCGGTTCTGTCTATTTCTGTTTCTCTTTTTCTTAATAAGTTCACGGGCTTCTGGATCCTTCACTCCTTTGCCTCGGTCCTTTTCCCGTTCTTTATTCTTTCCACGTCTCCGTGCTTGTCTCACTTGTCTTGAGTGGGGCATCGAGCATGAGCTCCAGGGACCCACATGCAAGCTGTACATGTTCTCTTCCTCTTCACAGGGGCTGGACTGGCACACCTGAAACTCTGTCAAGTTTGGGCAGCCAGAACCTCCAAACTGGGGGGGTGCTACCACGTGACGTGTCCGGTGCTGGAGCCCACTGCCGCACGTCTTGGAGCACTCAGACCAGGCAGAAAACTCTGACACGATGCAGTCTTGCTGGCAGGGGATGAGGCAGGCCTGTTCCAGGAGAGGTTTGGGCTCAAAGTACTCACAAATGATATCCTCTGCAGGAATGCCCTTCTCTTTCTGGATGCACGTTATCTCTCTCACCTGAATGCCTTCCTCCCCCTTAATGCACTCAAGGGGTTTCTCTAGGCTTTTGGAAATCACAGGCTGACACTGATTCCAGGGTCCCAGGCTCCAGTCATACAACTCTTTGTGCCAGTCACACACTTTGAAACAGATCTGCTGGTTACTGGGTCTCTCGGCCAGCTTACAGTTTGTATGTAACGTCGTCCAGCCTTCCATGTGAGCACACCACACGGCCCGGGTCTGAATGCCTCCTGGCCCGCATTCATCTCCCATGCACCGGCCCCACGGACCTGAAAATGAGACAAGAGTCAACAGTGCCACTGGAAGAAAGCCATAAGTTACTTCACTTTCCAAAAAGGCATTTCAAGATCTAGTACATTAACTTCCCTGAAGTGTTATAAAGTAGGTCTCTGCACACGAGTGTTGGAAAGTAATGATCTGCACTCAGTATTTTTGCAAAAGGAGAAGTGTGTCAGAGAGTCTATATAAGGTAACCGCTGGGACAAGTTCATTTTGGGTCCTTTTGGGTCTTTTCTTCATTAATTTTAAATAGAGAACCCTTGCTCATAAAGGACATCAGAAATCAGCAGCAGTGAAAACACAGGATCCCCGCCTTGTAAGCATCGAATCCATGTCAGCAGCAGGCTAACCGAGTGGCCCCCTGGGCATGGAGACTGTGCACATACGAGTCTCCAGACTTAGGACAGCAGAGTCTTAAGTACTCTGTAGCCCATGGCTACTGTGCTTAAACAAAACCATAATCTTCATTTCCCACTCTCCCACGCACAGAATATAAAGGTACATTTACATTGGATCATCAAGTTAGCAGCAAGCTAAATGCCATTAGGTCTAAATTTCAAAATACAAGTGTCTTGAAATAACTCAGAGTCTAAATCCCAGATGCAATTCAGGAGAACTCATTAATATTTTATTCTTTTTCCAGTATTTGATACTAATTATGAGAGCAGACTAATGAATCAGATTAGGACTATTAAGAAACTAGGCTTTTTAAAAGTTTTTATTTAAATTCCAGTTAGTTAACATAGAGTGTAATATTAGTTTCAGGAGTGCAATTTAGTGATTCAATACTTACATATAACACTCGGTGATCATCACAACAAGTACACTCAGTATACTCCTTAATCCTTATCACCTATTTAACCCATCCCCCCACCCACCCCCTCTGTGGTAAGCATCAGTTTGTTCTCTAGAGTTAAGAATCTGTTTCTTGGTTTGCCTCTCTCTCTCTCCTTTTCCCTATGCTCATTTGTTTTGTTTCTTAATTCCACATATGAGTGAAATCATATGGTATTTGTCCTTTTCTGACTTATTTCACTTAGCATAATATTCTCTAGCTCTATCCATGTTGCTGCCAATGGCAAGATTTCATTCTTTTTTATGGCTAAATAGTATTACATTGTAGATATACACCACATCTTCACCCATTCATCAGACAATGGCCATTTGGGCTCTCGGCATAAACTGGCTACTGTAGATAACGCTGCTATACACAGTGGGGTTCGTGTATCCCTTCAAATTGGTATTTTTGTATTCGTTGGGCAAATACCTAGTAATTCAATTGCTGCTTTGCAGCGTAGTTCCATTTTTAACTTCTTGAGGAACCTCTACACTGTTTTCCAGAGTGGCTATACCAATGTGCATTCCCACCAACAGTGCAAGAGAGCTCCCCTTACTCCACATCCTTGAAGTAAGATTAGAGGGAACATACCTCAACAAAATAAAGGCCATATAGGAAATAACATAGCTAGTGTCATCCTCAATGGGGAAAAACTGAGAGCCTTTTCTCTACAGTCAGGAATAAGGCAGTGATGTCCACTCTCACCACTGCTACTTAACATAGCTCTGGAAGTCGTAGCCACAGCAGTCAAACAACAAAAAGAAATGAAAGTCATCCAAATCAGCAAGGACGACATCAAACATTCCCTATCTGCAAATGACAGAATACCCCATAGAGAAAACCCAAAAGACTCCACCAAAAAACCACTAGAACTGATACATGAACTCAGTAAAGTTGCAGGGTACGAATCAACATATAGAAATTTCTATACATCAATAATGAAGCAGCAGAAAAAGAAATTAAGGAATCAATCCATTTACAATTGTACCGAAAAACACAAGATACCTAGGCATCAACGTAACCAAATAGGTGAAAGACCTGTATTCTGAAAAGTGTAAAACATTGATGAAAGAAATTGAAGATGACATAAAGAAATGGAAAGGCATTCCATGCACATGACTTTGAAGAACAAATATTGTTAAAATGTCTTTACTACCCAAAACAATCTGCATATTTAATATAATCCCTATCAAAATACTGCCAGCATTCCTCACAGAGCTAGAGCAAATAATCCTAAAATTTGTATGGAACCACAAATGGCCCTAAATAGACAAAGCAAAGCAAAGTTGAAAAAGTTTGAAAAAGCAAAGCAAAGTTGGAGGCATCACAATTCCAGACTTCAAGTTATATTCCACAGCTGTAGTGATAAAAACAACATGGTACAGGCACAAAAACAGACATATAGATCACTGGAACAGAACAGAAAGCTTAGAAACGAACCCACAATTATATGGTCAGTTAATCTTCGACAAAGTAGGGAAGAATATCCAATTGGAGGGGGGTGGAGAACCAGTCTTTGACAAACAGTGTTGGGAAAACCAGACAAAAGAACAAAACTGTACCATTTTCTTACACCACACACAAAAATAAACTCAAAAAGGATTAAGACCTAAATGTGAGACTTGAAACCATAAAAGTCCTAGAGGAGAACACAGAGAGTAACCTCTTTGACAATGGCCATAGCAACTTATTACTAGAGAGGTCTCCCGAGGCAAAGGGAAGGAAAGCAAAGATAAACTATTGGGAGTTCATCAAGATAAAAAGCTTCTGTACAGCGAAGGAAATAATCACCAAAAGTAAAAGGTAACCTACAAAATGGGAGAAGAGTTATGCAAATGACATACCTTATAAAGGGTTAGTATCCAAAATATATAAAGAACTTAAAAAACTCAACACCCCAAAAATGAATAATCCAGTCAAAAAATGGGCCAAAGAAATGAACACAATTTTCTCCAAAGAAGACATCCAGTTGGCCAACAGACACATGAAAAGATGCTCAACATCATTCAGCATCAGGGAAATGCAGATCGAAACTACAATGAGATACCATCTCACACCTGTCAGAATGGCTAATATCAATGACACATGAAGCTAGGGTTTTATCCTCAAACTAAAAACAACAAAAAATTACAACAGTTATAAATTGGCACTTAAAATATTTTATTGGGGGGGGTGGGATTATGGACATTGGGGAGGGTATGTGCTATGGTGAGTGCTGTGAAGTGTGTAAACCTGGCGATTCACAGACCTGTACCCCTGGGGATAAAAAGATATTATATGTTTATGAAAAATAAAATTAAAAAATAAAATTAAAAAAAAAAATATTTTATTGGACTTTTAACACAGAGTTAGGTACTACTGTTAATGGGTATATTTTAACTAATTGATGAAAACTAATATTTTATTACAGAAATCTTAGAAACAATGTGTCAAATTATTTCAAGTCTGCCTGTTATTGCTGAGTAAGGAAAAGACACATACCAAAACCAATCCCCCACAACTATGAGGAACTTAACACTACATAACTATTAAGTTTGAAAATTACCCTAGAAAAGAAGTGATAAAGATATTAAGCTCTTATAAACCAAGCTTTAGCCAAAACTCTAGGCTTATATCTAAGTTTATTGAAAAATAAAAGTGATGATGGTTACTTGAAAACTCATGGTTTACTGACACCAAATTAGAGAGAGGTCCCATTTTATACATTCTCAGAATATCCTTTTGTTTCTCACATTATATTTATCACAATTTCAACTAACTGATTGAATAACTGTATGCCTATCATATTAGACTGACTTTCTGGCCCCTGATGTACAGAACTTTGCCTGTCTTCTGCAACCTGTTTGATCCTGTCTTAATTTTCATGGCTGGCTTTTGAATGAACTTCACCAACTATCCTTTTTTTAAAGATTTTATTTATTTATTTGACAGACAGATCACAAGCAGGTAGAGAGGCAGGCAGAGAGAGGGGGAGAAGCAGGCTCCCTGCTGAGCAGAAAGCCCGATGCGGGGCTCGATCCCAGGACCCTGAGATCATGACCTGAGCTGAAGGCAGAGGCTTAACCCACTGAGCCACCCAGGAGCCCCTCAGCAACTATTCTGCTCAGAAAAGAGAAAATTTAATTTGTAGATCTTAATATTCAAAACATTAGATAATTGATGTCAATGCCAGTAGAAAAAGAAACTGAGTTCAAGAAAACTTCTATACTATTTCATATATAGTGACAATGAGCATGCATTTCTGAAGTTTTGATAACTAGTAAAAACATACATTCTAAGTACAAATACAATTCTATTCCATTCCAAAAATATTATCATAGATTCCCTATTAACCAGCTATTCATAGATAACACAGTTGTGTTTATTTTATTTCAAGTATATTTACAATGAGAACCAGAAGATAAGACATCCCAAGAAAATTCCATGGAGATGGACAAAAATACTCACTAGGTAAGGCAAAATAAAATGCATGAAGGCACCAGTGAAAGTAGAGGTGGCAATATAATCACAATTGAACCTAAAAAAAACCTCACTTTGCAGACTTTAACTGCTGTCTTATCTTTTTACTGCACCTTGGGTATTGCATTTGTGTCCAATTAACAGACCTCTTGAAAAAAAAAAAAGCAGATCTTTACCATTGTACACCTGATAAAGGGCTGTCTACTTCTATCCTCTGAGCATTCTTAAAATAATCACCCATTGAACACAAAGGGGATACATCTCAAACTGCTCTTGACAGCTAAGAATTGTTAGCCCAATTAGCTACCATGTTTCAAAGAAAACAAATGTTTCAAAGTGCAATTTGAAAGCACAATGTGCAAACTCTATCAAGCAAACTATGAAGTCCTCTCCCAAGCACAATATGAAAATGTGATATTTAACTCCTATGCCTTGGCATGAATGTTAAATTTTAGCTCCGCATCTCAAATTACTAGGAGTGGGAAGGGGTGGTGTTGGAAAGGTGGTGTGTGTGTGTGTGTGTGTGTGTGTGTGTGTGTGTCTAAGGATGTATGCTTTTTAACAAGAAAAGAATTTCTCTTACTTCGTTTATTGTTCTTGCTCATGATTATATAAAGGGAACTTGGAACATAATTGCACAAAACAAAGGATAGGTAGCTTGCTACTTAAGGTCTTGGATAATATCCCTTTATG